GGGGGGTGGAATGGTGTGAAAATGTAAGAAATAGCTCCAGTAGGTCCTACCTGAGCCTTCATTCATTTTTGCTAGACAGACTGCTCCATATGTGTTTACTGGTGATCTCAACTGAGATACTGAGCTTAGGAGAATAAGAGCTACTTTGACAAAGAAGTTGTGTTTCAGTTATTTATAGACGTAAGTGAAATCAGTACAAGAGGAATATGTGGACTAAAGCTTGTTCCTACCCGCGCAGCAATGCGAATTATGATCAGGTGGACCAAATACTAAGAGAGCATCAGTTACGCTGAACGTGAACATTGTCACACAGCCCCAGTTTCTGGAAGCAAAGCTGGTTCAGATCCTGTAAGTGGAGATAGGATTAGAAGAAGCTGTGGACAGAAGTACCCAGGACTAGGAGGAATGGTATCTGTTGCAGATGGGTCTTGAGGCCTAAGAAGGCCACTGCATGTGTATGTAGGGGGGGATGCTTGGCCTTCAGCAACAGAGAACTTAGCCCCCAGGGAAGCTACAGGAACTTGCTATAGATGAATTCCAGGGAATTCAGTGGGGACATGGACTCTGCCTGGCCTGCAGCCACCTAGATTTTTTCCATAGTAGTTCTAGAGGGTCCAGTAGAGGGGGAAACACATTGACCACTCACCCTTGAGGGGACGTGGTGGGGTTTGAGAATGAGACTCTAGCTGCAGTATCCCCCCCTTTTTTTTTTCTGTGCGGTGCAGATGTGGCAAGAACACAGAAAGCCACTCAGTGGCTGTCTCTGTTGCCCAGTCAGAGTGAGGGCAGATGGAAGAGAAAGGGAGAGGAACTTGTCTAGATGTACAGGCTTGTTTCATTCGGGTTGTGTTCTTTTGGCTTATACTTTCCGTGGTGTTTGTTTGCATTTTAAGTGTTTGTATTAACTTTTTGTGTGGTACTTAATTGGGTAAGTCATTATAAACTTAGGGTTTGAGGTACAGCCCTCCTTCAGTTTTTATTAAACGTTGCAAGCAGTTTGGTGAAATTGTACTCTTGGTAGATCAAAGGTTCCTTCTTCGTTCTTAACTGCTTTCCGTTCTGAGTAATATGAAACAAAGGGCTGACTTTTGTCAGATTCTGTCAGGAATACACCTTTCCTGTCTTCAACACTGTAAACAAGTACAAAGGGAAGCCAACAACATCACACAGCTGAGAACAACATAACAACATGGCTGCCTATGTCTGCAGATAAAAGGAACACTTACTTCCTGGTGTCTGTGCTTGATGTAGTATAAGCTTATACATAATTTACCACAGAAAGCTTTTTTCCTTCTGCTTCCCTTTTGTCTCCTAATACCAAACAAATAGTGACATTAGACCTGTAGATATTAAGGAGTGTGCTTCAGATGTTTGTGTCAGGGTTAAGGCTCATGATAACTTTATCTGGGTTTTGTCTTAAATGAGTCCTGAAGCCCGTTAATATCAGAGTTTAGAGTGACTTAAGGTAGAAAAAGATTTCTTATTCTGCTTTTCAGTTCTTTAGGGGAAGGTGACAGATGCCCCCTAGATAACTGTGGGAGAGAAGAAGGAAAGAAAACCTCAACAGACAGACCAGGCCCTCTGTGTGTCACTGCCCTCTGTGTGCTGGAGCACTTTGTGCTAGACGCCACTGCTCAGCTGCACCTTGAGACCTGGAGGTCTCCTCGGGTGCTCTCCTAAATCATCTTTTCACAATGTCCCTCTTCCCCACTATTACACTGACACAACTTTATTGCTCCTTCTGCTCTGTGAACTCCTGAAAGACGTAGCGACATCATTATTACAGTACTCCACAGAGCACGAAAGATATCAGTGCATGCACGTGGAAGAGTCTCAGCCCCTCTAGGCCTTCATATCTCAGAGCGAGATCTTCTCGGGGTACTTCTCTCATGTCCTGATGATGAGCTCAAGTGAGAAGAAGCAAGACCACAAAAAGCCTTTTCCTGCCTTTAATGGAAACAGCTGAGTTACTGGAGGGATGTAGCCCACAGAGTGCCTGGTCTGTCCACTGAAGTTTTTTCTGTCCTTCTTCTTTCCCACAGTCATTTAGGGGCATCTATCACCTTCCCCTACAGAACTGAAAAGCAAGGAATTCTCGAAATTCTCCTAATTCTGGTTAGGACAGGAAATGGTTAGTTAAATAAACTATACAGCAGTGCTCAGCAGTTAAAAATTAACTCAAAGTCCTGTGTGCTGCAAAACCAGATGCTGTCTTCAGAGCTGAAGAAGTAGTTGGTTCTCTGCTGAAGCAATGGTCTGTGTCCATTCAGCCACTTGAGCAGAAGATCCTTGAAGAAGGACATTCTGCTTCACTAATCATAGGCCACATGCTTACACAGAGCTTCCAGCACACAGAAGCATGGCCAAGTCTTTCATGATAGAGTCTGTGAGCATATATTTTTGCTGGTACGAGCTGTTTCTTATGCTCAGCCTTCTTTCCACTTACCACATGTTAGGCTGAGTAATAAGAAACTCAGCATATCCGAGGATGCAGTCATCCATTTGGATATGTGATTACTAAGGTGCTTTTGTCTTCCAAATACCTCCACAATTAAGACATTGCTGAAGCTACCGTCTGTTGATGCCCCAATAAGTTCACTGTGGGAGGAACCAATGAGTCACACCGAATATAAAAATGTCCTTGGCCACTCTCTAAAGTTTGGTACCTACTTAGTAATTAAACGCCAGCATGCTTCTTCGCTTGAAGTTGCCATGTCAGTGTCTGCGAGTGAAGAAATTGTTTTCATTGTATACATTGTCAGCACTTTGTTAATTTTCCTTCCCCCCCCCCCCCCAACAGTGGAAAGGTGAGATCCAGGAATTTTGTCCCAATACCAAGATGCTGTTGGTTGGCTGCAAGTCTGATCTCCGGACAGATGTCAGCACATTAGTGGAGCTCTCAAACCATAGGCAGACTCCGGTGTCATATGATCAGGTAGGTAGGTGTGTTGTTGCTGTAGAAAAGTCACTTTCCTTCCTTCCTCTCTTCCCTCCTTCCTTCCTTCCTTTTTAAAGAATTTATTTTTATTCTATGCGCATTGGTGTTTTGCCTGCGTGTATGTCTGTGTGAGGGTGTCGGGTCCCCTGAAACTGGAGTTACAGAGAGTTGTGGGCTGCCACATGGGTGCCGGGAATTGAACCTGAGGCCTCTGGAAGAACAGCCAGTGCTCTCAACTGCTGAGCCGTCTCCTCAGCCCCGAAAAGTCACTTTGCAATGAAAGTAAAAGAAGTGAAATATTATTTGCGATAAAGAAAATGTCAACAGTTTTTCAATAGGTGAAATATGAAATGTCCTGTAGTAAAAATCATCAGGAATTAGGCCACATAAGGAGTTAATAGGTGCTACCTTTGGATCTCCTTCTCCTAAAACTCATCACCAGATTCTAAAGAGGATTCCTGTTAAAATCTCTACAGCTCTATGTGGTTTGCATGATTTAAAGTATTCTATTTTAGGCCTGGGGACATGACTCAGTCATAGAGTACTTGCTCAGCTTCAGGAAGGCAGAGGATTCCATCCCCAGCATGATAAAAACCAGAAATGGAAAAAAATACTACATTCATGTCCATCTTGCATTTCTCATTAACAAACCCAATACAATCATAGAAAGTGACTTTATTCAAATGGATGTTAAATTACATTTGTCAGCCCTATATTTTGTACAACTGGTTGACTGGGGTTAAGGGATGCTTCTAGTCACTGAGAGGAAGTGAGAGCTTCATGCTGGAATGGACTCTGAGGGCCAAAGTACGTTGGTCAGGTCTGTGTGAAAGATGCAGTGTTCACGGTATCTGGGGACTTTACTCCAGTAGCTAGAGGCCATGCTTCAACAATGGGCTCAATGAGAACTACACAGCCAGTTACTGACTTCTTGGGTTAGTGGCTGTGGGTGAGGGTCAGCCACCACTTTTGCACCTCTCTTGTTTCTTTGCATCCTCCTATTGCAAGTTGGATGCTCCGAATTCTGATGGAGCAAATCAGCGTGTTGGAAGCTGTGGGGAGCTAGAGCAGTTTTACTGAGTAATGTAATTGAGGGCCTGCAGATTGGGTCTTCAGTATTTGGGAAGTGACAAAATAGCTCATTTAAAAAAAAAAATCTGTTTTCTATTTTTTACAATGGGAAATACTTGGGAAATCCATTTGGCATATTAGGTATTTTCCAAATGCAAGATCATTTTGTGGCATTTCAACACTTTCCCAGCGTCTCTCCAAAGTCTCATTGGTGATGGTAATTCTTTCTTCTACTTCACAGGGGGCAAACATGGCCAAGCAGATCGGAGCAGCCACTTACATCGAATGCTCAGCTTTACAGTCAGAAAACAGCGTCAGAGACATTTTTCACGTCGCCACCTTGGCGTGTGTAAATAAGACAAATAAGAACGTTAAGCGGAACAAATCACAGAGGGCCACCAAGCGGATTTCACACATGCCTAGCAGACCAGAACTCTCGGCAGTTGCTACGGACTTACGGAAGGACAAAGCAAAGAGCTGCTCCGTGATGTGAGGCTTCGCGGTCTTCAGTGAGGACACAGGAATCTGGTGTAAAAAAAAAAAAAAAAAAAAAGAAAAGAAAAGAAAAAGATAAAGCAAAAAGTAGAAAATTAAAAAAAAAAAAAAAAACAAAAAAAAAAAAACAAGCGCGAAACGAAAAGGTGGAGTCAAATGAAGTGCACAGCCAAAGTCGCGCAGACGCAGGCTTAGGAGGCCCTTGAAAGGATGCCAGGTTTTTGGAATCCCGTCCTTAGCTTCGGCATGTAGACCGAGTGGTGAGAAGTGAAAACATTGAAGAGTTTTGAAGTGTGACTTGAAACAAATATGCCAAAAACAAA